GTAAGTTTCTCAGTACTGAAATATTTCAACGATAGCTCATTTTGTTCCATCACCAAAGCATCCTCTCTTGTGAGCTACTGATGCGATGGGATTTTCATGATTTTAATGCTGGATATGCAGGAGATGTTATTGCTGTTGTGTAGTTCTGACTAATTACCAATGGATAGTTAATATATTTTGTAGAAGTGTTTCTTTAAACCTTCCATATGCTATAGTAAAGTAAAGTTAAGTTTGTCCCACTATGCGCCATGTAGGCGCTTGGGGTGAGAGGAGGTATAGCTCCTCTCTTTCTTGACCTTGGCACTAGATGGGGGTGAGTGGTCAGCATCACGCTCCGGCCGGCTTTACCCCCGGGAAAGGACCCCGGTACCCATTGTAGAGGAGGCTGGGTGGGCCCCAGAGCTGGTCTGGACGCAGAGGCTAGAGGAAAAATCCTCTGCCCCTGTCGGGGCTCGAACCCCGGCCATCCAGCCCGTAGCTAGTCACTATACTGACCGAGCTATCCCGGCTCATCTGCATGCTATAGTACGCAGCAAAAGTGTTGACAGCGATTCTTACACATGTTACTGTGTTGATTCTCAGTGTTGTATTTTGGAAAAACTTAAGGCTCGGAGCATAGAATATTGTATTTGGAATAGGTACAGAATATTTTGTGCTTTGTCTGCATTGCTTTTGTTATTTCTATTCTAGTATTGTTTTACACAGGTTGATAGACAAGTCATTACACGCTTTAATTTTTAATTCCTTGCCACCCCGTTTCTTCTCCTTTTGATGTCTTCTTGGACCTGACTACCAGATTGTTTTACAGTAATGCCTTTTATGTTATTGTTGTGAGAAACCTGCAATATCTCCAGTGGATACGTTCCTTCAACTTTCGAAAATAATTTTTTGACACTTGTATAAAGTAATCATAATTGCAATTAAATTGATTGTAAATGTGTCAGTAGCAGTCAGTTAATTCTTTTGTCAACAGTTTCTTAATTTTAATTTTGTACATCGTATTCTCTTCCAATATTTAATTATTTTACTGGATGTTGTTTAATTCTTGTTTCAGTTTGTTTGAGAACTTCAATAAATATGGGCATTATTTGTCACTTGTCTTTTTTAATATTTTACTTTTTTAGTTTTTGTTGTTTCAAGAATAAAGGCAGTATTGAATAACTAGTTTGTCTCAGGAAATCTATTATTTGAAACATAAAAACATGTTTATTTTTTGCTTATGTAGATAGCTAGCTGTTGGGGGAAGAAATCTGTTGGGTTTTGAATCTTTGTTGAAGGTAGATGGTTTGTCAGAGGGTACATGTGGAGTTACATGAATAATTCTCAAGTTGGCTTTGCTGTTTGGTGTTTTTTTACTCGTCCATGAAGGTGTGTGGTTATGAAGAGGTCTTATTGGCAGTGTGATATTTATAAGAACTTAATTTTGGAAAGAGCTGTTAATGATGATAATCTTGTTCCCATATAAATTTTACTGTGATGGTGAACTTTGTTTCAAGACGGGACTGAGACAGTTTTTTTAGATGTAAGTAGTGCTGGTGACACCTTACTTCTGTATGCTGGTTTTGTGTGGATTGAGTTCGTTGTGTGTTGCTAGGATCTGCCAAATGCCATGAATGCAGCAGAAATAACAGACAAGCTGGGCTTGCATTCACTGCGAAACCGCAATTGGTACATCCAAGCGACGTGTGCCACCAGCGGCGACGGCTTATACGAGGGACTCGACTGGTTGTCCAACCAGCTGAAGAATGCCAATCGTTAAGTCTCGCCACCACGAGTATGAAGCAGCCAACTGCTCCGATGCAACAGCCTTGGGAAGAAAATTTCAGAGTTGGAGACACACAATCACATCGGAAATGTTCGTTTTGAAAGTAGATTCTAGCGGTAAAATAAGTATTTCTTTTTCTTTTCCTGCACAGAGTGCGATCGGAGGTTTCGTAGAAAGTTCCTGTTAACTCGCGTTCAGGAGTTGGGAATATTTATTTTATAGCTAGAGGTCTTGAAGATGTTCTAGCTACATTGATCGTGTTTGCCACGGATCATTATCACAACATCCACATTTCCTAAAATTTCATGGACGTGTATCTTAATTTGCTGTACAATTATTAAATGTTGGTATGAGAGACCATGTTTCAATTTTACAACATATGTCTAATTACGTGTTTTTGGTGCTTTCATCTTAAAGCATAGAGTTTAAGAGCCGAGCTATGAAAATTGTCCGTGGATCATAGGAATTGTGATACTTCTTTGTGGCATTTGTGTTGATGGGACAGCCTGGAATGGGGGCCTAGTGTGTGTTTGTGTGTATGGGAAACTGTAGACAGTAATATTGCCAGATGGAGCGTGCATGCAAAACAGTTTCATAATTAGTTAACTACAGTTTTTGATTTGGTTGCATTCTCCCCTTAAGGCATTGGACCTGTTAACCATTTTAATGGGACTTGAAATTATGAAAGTGAGCATCTTTGGTGTTTACTTATGTGGGTGGTGAAGAAGGAAGTGGGATGTGTTTGCGAGCAGAACTTGGAACAGAAAGCAAGACCAACAACAATTTAGTCCCTCCCTTTTAAAAAGGAATGAAGAAAATACCAATATAATGCGCTGCATTCTACTAGCTACATGCCTGGCAATTTTTACAGATCGAAGAACGGAGAAAATTCTTGGTTTAATCGAACGATGACTGGAAGGTGAATTTATTGTAATTCTCATGAGCTGTGCTTGTAAGACTTTTTCGTGGGTGGAAACTGGTTAATAATATAGTTATAATACATCAACCAAGATTAATTTTCGTATCTGTTCTCTTCTTAATGTTTTCTGTGTCCAGTTACACGATATAAATACGGAAATACTATAGATATATCGATGGTTGAAAGACTGATGTCTTGGTTGCTGAAGTTCTTCAGATGAGATATTTTCCAATAGAATTATTGAAGGTTAGTGGGGGGGGGATTAATAAAGCTATGTTGTAAATGAATTCCAGTTTAATATGTTGAAGAAAGTTCACTTGAAAATTTAAAATTTAGAAGAATGTAGGTGCTGGATTTTTTTAAAGGGTTATAAGTTCTGGTCTCTTCTTGTGAGATCCAAAAATTTGGTATCATAGTATAAATACTTGGAAGAACATGTAGAACTCCAACAACTAAAGTTGACATTCCGCGGTTTTGTTTGGTGTTGTCAAAGAAAATCCTGTTTTTCACTGTATTTTGCTGCCCTTATATTTTATGTGGCTGTCTTGAGAGAACTGAAAATCCTTGGTTGCAGTTTTGAATGAGGAAGCCTGTAAGATGACTGACAAATACTGAAAAAGACAAGTGTTAATGGCGAAGGGCTTACTTTGGTGGTATTGCATCACATTCACACAATTTTGTCACTTTTAGTTGGCGCGCTCATTCTTTGTTTTGGTGCTGCCAGGAATTTCACCTTGACCACTGTTTGGGTTATGTCACAGATTAAATCATTACGTTTGTTTTTGTTTGTAGTTGAAAGGTAATTCAAATTGATAACCTTTTTGAAGTATGCACTCATGTAAGCATGTCATACTCGTGAATGTGCGTTCTGTTAATGTTTGATTGGTTTCAGTTCTATGATGATGTGTCCACAGGACATTTTCTGTGTTTTGTAACTAAATTGGTTGTGTAGAGTTTTGCAAGTAATTGACTGACAGTGATGGGAAAATAGTGCCAGCTCTGGTTTGTGATTATTATTATTATATTCTGGAGCCACTTCTCTTACAATTGGACTTGTGTTTCTTCTCGCTCATGTTCAGAAGCCATTGGTCAAGTATGTATAAACAGCAGCTTTCAAAGGGTCATAATAAATTATAACAATATATACCGTGTTGCAGTTTCTTTACATATTTTTGATTAATGAATTATTTTAAAACTGGTTTTACTCATTAACTTTTTTAGGTGCACTATCTCAGCATTTATTATTGTCGCATTCAGTCAGATATTATACTCTCTCCTAGATGAATGGAAAAAATGTGTAAATTTTTCACTCCATCCTTACTCCTGCTGACCTTTCTGTTATCATAGAGACTTCTCCTAACATTTTGGTCTCTCATCTGGTTCTTCAAGAGACTTTATAATGAATTTGTAAGACTTGGCTCCTGTTTATCGAGGTATGAGGCACCATAGCCATGTTACACGTCTTCAGAGAACCGAAATTAATTTCAGGTTTACCGTTTTCTACCAAAATGTGCAAGTTCGTGCTTGAGGCATAATTCAGACCTAACACTTGTATTCTTTTACAACATGCTGTGTTTCATCAGAGCACTGTGTCGTGTATACAGGGTGTTTAAGCAAAGACATGTATAATGCATCCAGATGAATGTGTAAGTGGACTAACTGTTTGCAGAAGTCTATTTTTATTTGGAGGGCCATTTACTGTTAGAACATTGAAATTAATTTTATATATGTACAGTACTTTGATGACATGTTTGTGATATGAACAGTGCTTTATATTTTATCTTTGTTTTTATGTTATTCAATTTTATATGAAATAATCCAAATAATATATATGATACACATCTTTAACACTCAAACTAGATCTAGCCGACATTTGAGAGGCATTTTCTGCCGTAGCGTGAAGACGCAGGCAGTAAGCTTCAATGAAATATCAGTCAGTATCCATCAGATTGCATGGTGCAACATCCTGGAAGACAGCCATCTTCAGATTTGTGTGTGGTACTCGGGTTCTTACCTAACAAATTTATATCACCTAAAATTCATAATTGTTGTTTGAAAAATTTTGCATTCTGCAGGGCACACTATTCCATCCCCACTCCTACTGACCATCCTGTTGTCATAGGGACTTCTCCTAACATTGTAGTCTATCATTTGGTTCTTCAGGAGACTTTGTAATGAGTTTATAAGACTTGGCTCCTGTTTATTGAAGTATGTGCACTAGATTTAGTGAGCTTGTCTTGATGAGTGAAATCAATTGAAATATATTTTTAAGTTTTTTAGATATGAAATAGCGTAGAACACATAATCATTTAGACATATGTGAATTTAAGATATATTAATCCCTGAATATTTATGTTCTTTTACTTGGATTGTTTTGTGTTCAGTTAAAGAAAAAATGTCCTCATTTCTACAAGCATCACTGTAATTTTATTTTAGTTCTCTCTGAGTAAGTACAAATTCTTAATAACTGATGTGGTTATTTAGTTATGCTTTCTCAACTGTAGTTGTTTCATGACTGATTGGCAAGAGAAGATGATCACAGGTTGTGTGAAAGTAATATGCCACAAGTGCCTTGAAAGTTGAAAACTTTGACATTATTTGGTATTCCAGCCAAACTTAGAATCTCCTGACCATTGCCAGTCATGTTGGAATGACTGAAGAAGCAACTACTAAATAAGGTATGTACTTTGGAATGAAATAGCCATTATTTTTTTGACTTCTGAACTGGGATTGCAAAGTTTTTAAGTATGCCCAAGGTATTCAAATTATTTTAAGTATTACACAAGGATAAGTGAAGTTTCATAGTCTAAAGTTGCATGAAAAGGGGTAACATCATTACATATGATATTTATTGAACAGGGTAGCTTAGTGAAATATGTGACTATGGACTGGATGACCAGGGTTCAATCCCTGTACCAGTAAAATTGCCATCTATCCCAGGCCATTATAATGGATTGACAGTTTAAATGCATATTGTAAACAAGTTGAGTGTATATGCTGGTCAAATAGTAAAAAATGGTAATGTGCAATATATTATATGTGAAGTCATAAAGATAATTCTACCACCAGGCTGGTACACTAGTACACTAATGAATGTTTACTAAACTAGATCTCTGGGGACTTATTTATCGATACATTCCAGTCTTCGTTACAATCTTTATTTCTACTAAGAAGTCTAAAACATATTTATGCAACACACTGAAAGAGGATGTTTGTCACTGGCCAAGTAAAATTTTCTTTGACTAAGTTATATGCAGGGTGTACCATTTAAGACGTAATAATTTTGTGATTCAGTGCTACTCCATAGAATACAATGCAGAAAAAAAGTGAGGTTAGGAGGACATTTACCAACTCCGGCCAGTGAGTGCTTGTCAGGTGTGCTATTAGCCACCGAATCTTAGGTTAAGGTACGTGTGTTCTCGCAGGTTGATTTCGAAGTAACACAACGCATTGTGCACAGATTTGCGAGGTGGATGGCCTGCTTCACCTTCCAAGCTAAGATTATATTTTTAGACGTCGACTCTGTCCCAGAGTACCTCTGCCGTCACGCTTGCAGATGAGTGTTTTTCTTTGACTATCCTGGCGTGCGCCGTGAAACTTCGTAGATATCAAAAAATGTGTCTACCTTCGTGCAAATTCAGTTTTGATGTGTGTGTGTTGAGCTCGGACGTCTTCAATCATCATGTATGTTGACTCCCTAATGGGACATTAATATTAATTATCGCTTAATGTGAGAGTCACTGCTAGTTGGATGCCATGAAGCCTGGTTCTTATACAGTTTAGAATATAAGTACCCTTGGAGGGGTGGGTTGTCTTTTGGGATCTATTTGTTTTTGAGAGAAATGGTGTCATTCCAAACTAATAAGGTTTCCTCTGAAGTGCCTTAACCTTTAATTGGGTTTATGTCCCATGAAATACTTATTTAACTTCAGTGTGGTTATTGCCTTGGGAAGGGTTGGTTTCTTTATGTGGTGGGGTTTTCATAGTTTCTCTTTTGTAGTTGTAGTAATCTTTATTAAAACTTTTGTAATTTGTAATAGTAGATCTTTCACTTATTTTTTTCTGTTTAGTGTGTTTGGTTATTTAAAGAGCTATTGGGTTATTAGTGGGATTTTGGGTATATTATGTGGTGTTGGTAATTTGTTTTCTATTGTGTTTTGGAGACTCTCGAACCTTCTCAAGGCAGTAGGTTTAATGAGTTTTTGAGACTTCAGAGGGGTATCTAGTCCAATGATATTTTTTCAAATTTTAGAGTTTTTTATGCTTGCAGGTATGAAGCTACTTTCAGAGTTATTGGGACAGTATATGAATATCCAAACTCATGTGGTTTGTTAACCAGCTGTGATTGCTTTGGTTTTTGATGCATTTTTGGTTACCCGAAGAAGTCTTGGGGTTATCATTCTACGCCGTACCTTATCGTTTTAATTTCTTAGGTGTTTGTTTAAATTTTCTGCTACAGGCATGTTTTCACTATTTTAGGTTTACGGTGGGCTCGTGACCTTTTTAGGTCTAGGTTTTTGATTGGTGTATGATGGTCTGGGGTTCCTTCTAGGTTTTCATTCTTTTGAGATTTTAGGGAGACCTTGGAGAGTTTGGAATATAAGGTGGATGCCCTTCGAGGGGTGGGTTGTCTTCTGGGCTGTATTTGTTTTTGAGAGGAATGGTGTGTTTCCAAATTTCATAGGGTTTCCTCTGATGTGCTTTAAACTTTAATTGGGTTTATGTACTTATTTAACATCAATGTTGAGAGGGATTGGTTTCTTCATGTTGTGGGCTTTTCATAGTTTCTCTTTTGTAGTGGTAGTAATATTTATTAAAACTTTTATAATTTGTAGTATTAGTTTTTACACTTATTTTTTTCTGTTTGGTGTGTTTGGATATTTTAAGAGCTATTGGGTTATTAGTGGGATTTTGTGTATATTATGTGGTGTTGGTAATTTGTTTTTTATTGTGTTTTGGAGACTCTGGATCCTTCTCAAGGCAGTAGGGTTAATGTTTTTTTGAGACCTCGGAGGGGTGCATGGGCTCCTGATGTTCTCTTCGAAATTCTTGGGGTTGTTTTGTTTTCAAGTTTCAAGTTACATCTGGAGGTACAGGATCTAGGAATTTCCGAACTTATAAGGATCTGGGTTATCATGCTAGGGTTTACCTTATCATTCTAATTTTTAAAGTTCTTGTTCCCTTTGTCTGTTACTAGGTCTTTTCAGAATTTTAGGAGTCTTGATTATCAGGACTGGTCTTATTTATTTATAGGTTCCGATTTTTCCCAGGTCTGTGGGGTCACTCCAGAGATGTTATTGTTTTGAGGGGGATTGTTTGTGCCAGCAGTTTGTTTTCTTCAGGGGTTTGTCTTATAGTTGAGGGGGGTTTAAATTCCATCCGTATTATTGCATGTGTGTTAGGAGTCTCCTGTCTTCAGGGATTAGGTTTGTTTTGAATGTTCTTTGGGTTGTTTGATCCATTCTGGACTTGTCATTGCAGTCTGGGTGGTTGACTTGAGTGTTTATTATTATTGCAAGCATTGTAATTTTTCTTCTCTCAGGAATTTATTAACGTAAGGTGAGTACTTTAAGGTGCTGTGAGTTGATTTGGCTGCAGTGAGTGCTGTTTTCGGAGTAGAGGCCTTCAAATTTTTGAAGTTATTTCGAAAGTCATTTTTTTCAAACGCATTTTTCTGCCGATCTGTAGGAATCTGAGTGACAATACTCATGTTAGTTTGAGGTCACGGAAAGGTCATCGTCATGTCATAGTCACGTCAAAATAAGTACCAAGTTTTTCCGAATAGAGCCCTTTAAAATTTTCAAGGTATTTCTAAAGTCATTTTTCAATGTAATTTTTCTGCCGGTGTTATTGAATCTGAGTGACAAAATTTATGTTAGTTGGAGGCCACGTACAGGTCACCGTCATGTCATAGTCACGACAATATCAGTCGGTGGGTTTTGCGAATAGCGGCATTTAAATTTCTCGACGTCATTCGAAGATTCCCCGTAAGGATTCCCTCTACAGGATCCCCACCGTAAGGATTCCCCACGTGCAGATTCCACCCCCATAGAGATTCCACCCTCGTACATTCTCCACGTTCTGATTCACCCCGCGGGGCCACCTTTGGGCCCCCCGTGTACCAACTATTGGCACCCTCAAAAA